TATTTACCAAAAATCATAAGTCACTTTGTCTGACTTTTTGGGTTATCTTAGGTTCTCTGTACATACGCTGCTATGTAACTATGTAACTGTATTCTATGTAACTGTATTTGTGTATACCTGAATAAACTTATTTACTTACTTCTATTCTGTCGACTGAGTACAAGAAACCGCCCATTCACCTATTTCATCTACCCAATAAAGTGGTCAGAAATTGGCAATTTGGCCAATTTCACACAAATTTCAACAGATGCCAATTTCAAAATAGGTCCAGAATAAACAATGCAGACATTCCGGGCACTAAAATAGCATTTTTCTCTGTTCATTAGTCATGGCTCCAGGCCCCACTTACATTACCCTTGCTTACCATTTGGAATTTTCATTCACACACAAAAAAATAGAAGATTTACTATTACACAGACTACTGCATTATTGTATAAATAATGCCAATCCATTCATGACTGCTTATTGGAATTTGGACTGGCAGGTGCACACGTATTAGACAGCGACTTCATTTGTTTACTCTTGAACATCGCTAAAGAACCGAACATCTCCACTACTTTGAGCTTAATTTCAAGGTAATTTTCATCATGAAAGCAATCAAAATCATCTATTTCTGTAATATATCTTCCATTCTATCAAATGAGACCAAGAAAACGAGAATACAGCCATAAAAATCATACGAAAATATACCGCTGTGGGGCAACTAATGGCTGAGAAGTGAACTCCATCATTATGGTCTGATTTCATTCTTTTTTGGTGTACATTAAGGAGCATCTTTCCATCATACATTGCCCAAGTTTCAATAAGATAGCCCAACAAACAACTGAGAGAGAAAAATATTATAATAATAATAATAATAATAATAATAATAATAATAATAATAATATCTTTGTTTACTACAAGTACATGTACATGGTGTACAGGCCTAGCTGAGGTCTGTTACATACTACTATATAGAAAGCACCTTGTTATGTTAAGCATTTCAGGCAAATTAGGTCAGTGTCCCAGGATAAGACCCACACCAGTCCACTAACACCCAGGTACTCATTTACTGATAGGTAAGCATAGACAGTAGGTGTCTATGTTTACCAATATTTCTACCCTGGCTGGGAATTGAATATTTACCAAAAATCATATATAGCTAGCCTAAGCCAGGTACTAGAAATAAGCCACTTTGCTTTTTTGGGTTATCCTAGGTTCTATACACATATGCTGCTATGTTTGATAATCTGTGTAGAGAAAATAGCTTTTTTTTCAGTTTTATGATGCAGAACGAGTGTATATGACAGTTATCCATGTGCTGTACTCTATTTTCTCTAATATTAGCCCCCAAGACAGGGATAGGAGAATGGTACTTGCATCCCATAACCTCTTCATACCTCCGTTGAGCTGCTCGGTATTATGCCAAATATTATTCATTCTGGAGTATTTAAGATGTTTTTATGTTATTTATATTGTTTATTATGTCATATTAGATCAATTGTGATAGGCAAATAAGCCAAAGTGTTGATATTAGCATAATAATAAAGCATATTTCCCTGCATCATGAAACTGAGCCCATGGCAACCGACAGTGGCTTCAAAGCCCATAAATAGTCCAAATATATATATACGTTTTTACCGCTACTGCCCCAAACGTATATTTACGTTTTATTTTTCATTCCTTCAAAATTGGCGCGATAGGCCTGAGTCGCGTAGACATGAGAGAATGGATGTGCACACTCAGTGTGTGCAGTATCAAAAAAAATCTGGGACGCCTGGGTACCGCATGGTAGGACCAGTTACATTCAGCTCCATCTTGGGTCAACATCATGGCACATCCTCGTGATTCACTCACCCCTCATCGTATTAGCACTCTATTATTCGAGGAAAGTGATATGGAAGGTCAGTTTAGTGGATTTGATGCAGATGTGGCTACTAATAATCAAGAAAATAGTGAAAATATAGACGATAACCAAGATGACCCTCAGCCCGTCACCTCTGGGGTGGCCAGTGTGGCCACACCAGACCCTATGCCAAGCACTTCTGGAGTGGCCAGTGTGGCCACACCAGACCCTAGGCCAAGCACTTCTGGGGTGGCCAGTGTGGCCACACCAGACCCTAGGCCAAGCACTTCTGGGGTGGCCAGTGTGGCCACACAAGACCCTGGGCCAAGCACCTCTAGAGTGGCAAGTGTTACACATAGGCAACTACGCAAGAGGAAACTATCATTTTCCCAGTGTTTTAGTGATAGTGAAAGTGATATAAGTGATGATGAGATTGATTTTATGCCATTAGAGGATTCGTCTAGTGACAGTGATCATTATTCACCAGTGAAGCGTACTTTTAGGTTCAGGCAGTGTGCCATTTGCAGTCGGCGGCAAGGGTCGTGGCAGGTCATGATCCAAAACCCCTGCCACTGATAGTGAAAGTGACCATGAAGGTGAATATGTAGGGATGGAGGAAATAGTGGTGGGTGGCACGGTGCCTGGACCACATGATGCAGTGGGTGGACAGACAAAGGACCACCTAGCATCCCCTCAACCATGTGCTGCCTCCACTCCTGTCCCCCCTCCTGCTCCCCCACGCCCCATGCCACAGGTCCACCCTGCACCATGTGACCGAGAGTGGAACTGGACACAAAGTATATTCGTGCCAGAGCCTTTTGATTTTGATGCAAGTGGAAGTGGCATCCTGCCAGAATGTCCATAACAAATGAGTCTACAGAGTTAGATTTTTTCCAGTTATACTTTGACGGGCCTATAATGAACTTGATAGTGACCTAGACGAACAATTATTACTGCTATATCATGGACAATACACCAGAGGTTGGGGAATTGTCACGGCTGCGCAGATGGAAAGATACAATAGCAGATGAAATGTATTTATTCCTTGCCACTGTCATGCTTATGCCACATACCTATAAGAACAATATACGTAACTACTGGGCCACTGACTACTTTATCAGTACTCCTGTCTTCCGTGACCTCCTTCCCTGCAACAGATTTATTCTGTTGCTACAAATGTTGCATTTCTCAGACAGGAATAGGCCCAACAGAAATGACTTTCTATACAAAATTCAGGAAGTGTTTATCTATATGAAGCAGAAATTCAGTGCCTACTTTTATCCCTTCAAGAATATTGTTGTTGACGAGTCCTTGATTCTGTTCAAGGGACGCTTGTCATTCAAACAATGTATACCAAGCAAACGTCATCGCTTTGATATAAAACTTTTTGTTATGTGTGACTGTGAGAGTGGTCTTGTGTTGGATGTGATTGTATATACAGGAAAAACACACTCGACGATACCAGGTGCATGTTGGGCATTTCTGGTGATGTTTGAAAAATGATGGAACCATACCTTGGCAAGGGCCATACATTGTACACAGACAACAGGTATACCAGCCCTATGCTCGCTGATTTCCTATGTGTGAACAATACTGATATATGTGGAACAGTGAGAAGGAATAGAAAACATATGCCAAGGTTCAGTGGAGGCAGTATTGAAGGTGCAGTGCAAGCATTTCATGCCAATGACATCATGGCACTGACGTGGCATGACAAACGGGATGTGACATTGCTGTCAACCATCCACAGAAACAAGATGGTACAAACAGACAAAGTGAACAGGGAGACCAATGAACGTATTGTCAAGCCAGCTGCTGTTGTCGACTATACAAACAACATGCGACTCGTTGACAAGTGTGACATGATGATAGGGTTCGTTGACTGTGTGCGTAGGAGTCGCAAGTGGTATATAGAACTGTCTTTTCACCTTGTAGACATTACAGTGCTCAATGCATTCAATATGTACGAAATAAAGACTGGAAAATGACAATGTTTTGCAGAATTCTCCCTGAATGTCATAAAACAGATAGCAAAAAAAGTATGGTACCACACCTGTACCTGCCCTTCAACAGCAACCTGTCACACCACAACCTGTCCCCTAACCCCAACCACAGCCAGTCGGGGAAGTGCCAGACCGAATCATCCCTAACTGTCACTACTTGGTACCAATACCACCTACCCCAAAGAAGAAGCATTCCCAGAAAAAGTGTGTTGTGTGTGCTACCACCACAAAACGACCCCAACAGCGGAAGGACACACGATACATTTGTAACCAGTGTGGGGTGGCACTCTGTATGAATCCATGCTTCATGGAGTATCATACAATCGTGGAGTTGTAGAAACATAAGTGGGACATGTAAATACTTGTATATAGTTGTAGATGATAATGTATGATTCAGCCAGGTGTGCAAAATCACCTGTCAGTGTGTACATGTGTGTCTGTGACAATATGATAATAATTTTGTATATATTTTTGGTGTATAAGCAACAATTAACATTGAAATCAAAAGAATTACTGTAAAACATAAGAATCTTATCATGAAGACCAAGAAAAGTAAAAAAAAAAAATGGAAAAAACGGTAAATATGCAGAGTTTCTGCAAGCGGCAGCGCTCCATGTTGCCGTCAGGTGATCGCCAAGTGCCAACTTCGCGGCCTCATATCTCGGTAAGTACTGACCCTAAAAATTGTTTTTAACTTATAACACTTACAAAAATGTGCTCTTTTTTTTTCTATAAAAAAACAATTTTTTTATTTTTCAAAATATTCGGGGCACTGGGGTAGTGAACGTATATATACGTTTGGACCGTTCACGGGTTAATGGACAATGTACAGTACTTTGTAGGTGCTTTACACAATGAGAAGCATTTCTTTTATTCATTAGAACTATGACTAGGGCTAAAAGTAAGCAGGTTATAACAATAAATGAAGAAAAAGAAATTGGAATGACTTATGCAGCAAACAGTACCAGCTGGTTGGTGTGGCGACCCTGGAAATTTGAAATTATGCTAGCCGAAATTAGTGTCGAATAACTGATTGAACCGGATGTCTGATTCCGGGATTTGTGTTGGTGGACCTGTATTATAATATTGCCTTGTATATCTCCCTTGATGTACGTACTTAGATTATAATATTGCCTCGTGTATCTGCATTGATATATTTTTTTCTTTTGCAGATCTTTTGTGATGCAAGTTCAGTATCACACACTGCTGACAGTGTTATCAACAGGAAGCTCCAAAAAAGTTCACCACACTGTCAGAAATATTAAACATATGGTATTATAAAGGTCATCCTAAGTTCCTGATTACTCTTAAGTTCAGCCTTGTTCAGTGAGTAAGTTCACTGATCATAATTGTTCACATTCAGCAAAACCACCGTATTGTTCAAGTGTTCTTGTTCACGAGGAACACTGAAAAGGCAGCAACAAAGTTCAAGCTTTACTTATAAATGGAACTTTATATTATTATCTGAACCAGTAATGTATTTAAAACTTGACAGATGGTAGTATTACTCTGTTAAACTTTTCTACTGACTGAAAATGTAATAAAGTTCAGCTATTTTATGGCATTAATATTGAATTTTATTTTGTGTTAGTTGTGCATGTGTAATATAGTTGTCAGTCATGGAAGAATAATATTATTTGTTGTGAGAACATTGTATATCAAGGAATTATTTCCTCGTTCCTTTATTATCCCTGTTTAGTGCATTCATATGTACATCTGAGCTAATATATGTCTGAGCTAATTTATGTCTAAGCTAATATATGTCTAAGCTAATGTCTTTTCCTTGAAGTCTACCTCATGTATGCCATGCATAATCTACCATGCTATATACATAAGTACATAAGAAGTTGTATTTAATGATTGACTTATTTATCATATTCTTTATTATTATTAATAATGATAAGTTGATTTGAACTTAAAGTTTGTCCAGTGTCCAGCAAAGTTGAAAATAATGTTATTGCTAAAATTCATGCAGTGGAAAACATGCTTTTGACAATGGATAAAAAATTATTCCAATTTTGCATATTATGAAGATTTTGATATTGTGAACGTTCGTAAAGAACATTATTACTTAGTAACTAAGTTCTTTTTTTTTTGGGGGGGGGGGATGCTCTAATATGGAGTTATGTAAGTGATAAACCATACACTGGTTTAGGGTGCTGTGTTTGTGAGCTTACATGCAGGGCCAGGAGCCGTGACTTAACCCCTGCAACCATATATAGGTGAGTACACAACTCATGTATAAAGTTACAGTCATGAACAAAAGTGTACCGTACTAACGTAGATTGTATTTCATGTATGAGGGCTGTACATGGTCTTAGTGTTCACAATTGTTCAATAATGTCTAATGTAGAAGTGAACATGAACAAAGATAAGGAAGAGAAGCCTTTTCCTTGTTCACTATGTTCAAAATCGTTCTCCTCCAACTCTGACCTCCTGAGGCATCAGAGTGTTCATTCAGATGACAAACCATACCAGTGTTCGCTGTGTCCAAAATCTTTTGCGAAAAGCTGCGACTTGGCCAGACATCAGATCATTCACACGGAGGAGAGACCTTACCAGTGTTCTGAGTGTCTGAAGTTCTTTAAAGCAAAGTTTAAACTGAGAGAACATCAAATGTGTCATTTGAAAGTCAAACCTTTTCAGTGTCATGTGTGTCTAAAATTATTTTCACGAAAGATTGGCTTGAAAAGGCACCTCATAGTTCATACAGAAGAGAAGCCATTTGAGTGTTCAGTGTGTCTAAAGAACTTCAGAGATAAAAGATCTCTCAGTCAACATACAATCGTACATACCGGGGAGACCTCATACCGCTGTCACATATGTCTAAAAGGCTTCACACACAGTACTTCTCTAAGCAAGCATATGAGGATTCATACAGGAGAAAAGCCATACCAGTGCTCAATATGTGAAAAAAGCTTCAAACAACAGGGTCAGCTGGCAATACACAGGAAAGTTCACACTGGGGAGAAACCATACCAGTGTTCCCTGTGTTCAAAACAGTTTGCCATAAAATCCAACCTGGTTAGACACGAGAAACTCCACACGGGAATTAAACCATACAGGTGTTCTGAGTGCCTTAAAGACTTTGTTATAAAGTCAAGACTAACAGAACACATGGTATCACACACCCAAGAAAAACACCATACTTGCCCAGTGTGTTCAAAAAGTTTTAAAATAAAAAACTCCTTAAAAACACATATGAAAATTCATAGCAAAAAAGTCCTTAGTAAAAAAAAAGTGACTGAAAAGCCATTTAAATGTTATAAATGTCTTAAAGGCTTTGTGTACAAGACTAATTTACTGAACCACATGAGCATTCACTCACAAGAATCAAAATATAATAATATTCAGAATCTGAAAGATTTTAGGAAAGAATCACTTTGTGAAACTGCTGACAACAACAGTCTGTAAGACCTGACAACAGTAGTGTGTAAGACCTGGCAACAACAGTGTGTAAAACCTGACAACAGCAGTGTGTAAGACCTGACAACAACAGTGTGTAAAACCTGACAAAAGCAGTGTGTAAAGTCTGACAACAACAGTTTGTAAAATCTGACAACAACAACTATGTAAAACCTGGCAACAACAGCTGGGATAAATGAGTTTCCTTGGAGACATATTATATACTTCTTCTTTCTTTCAACACACCGGCCATATCCCACCAAGGCAGGGTGGCCCAAAAGGAAAAACGAAAGCTTCTCCTTTTACATTTAGTAATATATACAGGAGAAGGGGTTACTAGCCCCTTGCTCCCGGCATTTTAGTCGCCTCGTACAACATGCATGGCTTACGGGGGAAGAATTCTGTTCCACTTCCCCATGGAGAGAACAGGAAATAAACAAGAACAAGAACTAGTAAGAAAATAGAAGAAAACGCAGAGGGGTGTGTACATATATATATATGCTTGTACATGTATGTGTAGTGTGACCTAAGTGTAAGAAGATGTAGCAAGACGTACCTCAAATCTTGCATGTTTACGAGACAGAAAAATGGACACCAGCAATCCTACCATCATGTAAAACAATTACAGGCTTTCGTTTTACACTCACTTGGCAGGATGGTAGTACCTCCCTGGGCGGTTGCTGTCTACCAACCTACTACCTATAACATATTATATACATTAACATAAAAAACAGCACAGTAGTAGGGAACAGTCAAGGTTTGAACCCATTGCCATAGGTTCGAGTCCTATCTGTTCCCTGGTTTGTTTGTAATCATCTTATTACTATTTTGTGAGTTGTCAGTTGAAGATTAATGTGTTGTGAACTCATACATAAAATGAATAAAGAGGAAGGTGGATGGAGGCTTAAACTGTGGTCTCCAGATTAACAGTTCCGCTGCTTTCTCTTCATTCATTGACAGTCATTTATTATGACTTAAATTAAATTTATACATAAAATGTTCATGTACAGTGGTACCTCAGGATACGAACTTAATTCGTTCCAGAAGTCTGTTCGAGTGCTAATACTGAATGAATTTGTTCCCATAAGGAATAATGTAAATTAGATTAATCCATTTCAGACCCCCAAAAATACACTTACAAAAGCACTTGCATAAATACACTTAGGTAATTATTCGAGTTTTGAGCTGTTCGTATCCCGAGGTACCACTGTATTATGTTCAGTAAATCACAGTCACAAATAATCAGTTACTTACCTGTATTAAAATATTAGTTAAGTCAAACAATGACAGCAACTGGAATGGGAGTATTATTGTCCTGTGATGATAGGTTAGTAGACAGCAACCACCCAGGGACATGATACCATCCTGTGGTAGTAGGGTGGTAGACAGCAACCACCCAGGGAGATACTACCATCCTGTGGTAGTAGGTTGGTAGACAGCAACCACCCACTGAGGTACACCTACCATCCGACTTACGACCGAGTTCGGTTCCGAGAAACCGGTCGTAAGTCGAAATGGACGTAAGTCGAACTTTACTACTGAATATCAACATCACATTTTTGTAATGACTTTATTTTATTGTTTTATTTTGGTATTTCATGTTTTACTTTACTTTTTATGTTGTTATTACTGTATTTTATACTGTAAGGTTTAGGATAAACACTGTGTACAACACAAATAGTTGTTTATTTCCCAGAAATTTGGCAAAAAAAACACGGTCGTAAGTCGAGTGGTCGTAAGTCGAGCAGGTCGTAAGTCGGATGGTAGGTGTACTACCATTCTTTGATAGTAGGTTGGTCGACAGCAACCGCCCTGAGAGGTACTACCATCCTGCCAAGTGAGTGTAAAATGGAAACCTGTAATTGTTTTACATGATGGTAGGATTGCTGGTGTGTGTTTTTCTGTCTCATAAACATGCAAGGTTTCAGGTACATCTTGCTACTTCTACTTACACTTAGGTCACACTACACATGCATGTATAAATATATATATATATATATATATATAATATATATATATATACACACCCCTCTGGGTTTTCTTCTGTTTTCTTACTAGTTCTTGTTTATTTCCTCTTATCTCCATGGGAAAAATGCCGGGAGCAAGGGGCTAGCAACCCCATCTCCTGTATACATTACTAAAGTTAAAAAGAGAAACTTTCATTTTTCTTTTTGGGCCACCCTGCCTTGGCAGCCACCCTGCCTGGGCGGCCACCCTGCCTGGGCGGCCACCCTGCCTGGGCGGCCACCCTGCCTGGGCGGCCACCCTGCCTCGGCGGCCACCCTGCCTCGGTGGCCACCCTGCCTCCGTAGCAACTCTGCTTCAGTGGGATACGGCTGGTTTGTTGACAAGTTTGAAAAGTTTGTTAATATGCATAACATAAATAAGTTCTTGGATGATTCATAATCTATTTTCTCTTCATAACACTACAACATCAGTACCAAGTGAACTTGATGAGAAGTATTGTATAGGCAAGGATTGTAGCTAGTTTTGTTATTTTGTGAGATACAGGTGCTCCTTGACTTACCATGGTTCCTCTTACCATGGTTCCTCTTACCATGGTTTCTCTTACCATGGTTCCTCTTACCATGGTTCCTCTTACCATGGTTCCTCTTACCATGGTTCCTCTTACCATGGTTCCTCTTACCATGGTTCCTCTTACCATGGTTTCTCTTACCATGGTTCCTCTTACCATGGTTCCTCTTACCATGGTTCCTCTTACCATGGTTCCTCTTACCATGGTTCCTCTTACCATGGTTCCTCTTACCATGGTTCCTCTTACCATGGTTCCTCTTACCATGGTTTCTCTTACCATGGTTCCTCTTACCATGGTTCCACTTACCATGGTTCCTCTTACCATGGTTCCACTTACCATGGTTCCTCTTACCATGGTTTCTCTTACCATGGTTCCTCTTACCATGGTTCCTCTTACCATGGTACCTCTTACCATGGTTCCACTTACCATGGTTCCTCTTACCATGGTTCCTCTTACCATGGTTCCTCTTACCATGGTACCTCTTACCATGGTTCCACTTCCCATTATTCTTACCATGGGTCCTTTTACCATGGTTCCTCTTACCATGGTACCTTTTACCATGGTTCCACTTATTATGGTTCCACTTACCATGGTTCCACTTGCCATAGCTACTCATACCATGGTTTCACTTACCATGGTTCCTCTTACCATGGTTCCACTTACCATGGTTACACTTAATACAGTTCCTCTTATCATGGTTCCTCTTACTGTGGTACCTCTTACCATGGTTCCAGGTTCCACTTACCATGGTTCCTCTTACCATGGTTCTTCTTACCATGGAACCTCTTACCATGGTACCACTTACCATGGTTCCTCTTACTATGGTTCCACTTACCATGGTTCCACATACCATGGTTCCACTTACCATGGTTCTACTTCCCATGGTTCCACTTACTATGATTCCACTTACCATGATTCCACTTACCATGGTTCTACTTGCCATGGTTCCATTTACCATGGTTCCACATAGAATGGTTTCACTTACCATGGTTCCACTTACCATGGTCCCACTTACTATGGTTTCACTTACCATGGTTCCATTTACCATGGTATCACTTACTATGGTTCCACTTACAATGGTTCCAGTTACCATGGTTCCACTTACCATGGTTTCACTTACCATGGCTCCACTTGCCATGGTTCCACTTACCATGGTTCCACTTACCATGGCTCCACTTCTGTGCCAGTGAGCGCCAGTGAGTTGTGCCAGGCTGCTCCCAGCGCCACCTTCACCACCCAATCTACGTTACCGAACCCAATGGGACAAATTGGTGGCATCGTTGTGGGCGTGGATTTATGGGTATTTTCGCAGATATCAGAAGTTTAAGCTGCATGTGAGTGGTGCCGGTGTACCCCAGGATACCTGTCACCTCCAGCTAGCCACTTCTACCCTCACCCACCTCCACCCTGTGTCACTCCAGCCTGCAAGCCAGTTGCAGCCGCCTCTCAAGCTTCCTGGCTTAGTTCGTGTGCTGATTGCTTCAATCTCCGAGGGGTTGACCCGGATTTTGCAATTAAGTCAGCCAGTAAGCCAGTCTGTGGGAAAGAGTGCCAGTCAGCCTGCCTCAGTCTGTCATCCAGCCTTTCTCCTGTCATCCACCTGCTCCTTCATGCTGTGTGCATCGTTACACGTCTTCCAGTCCACCATTCTCGAAGGTTAAGCTAGTAAGCCAACCCAGCTGAGAGAGAGAAGTAAGCCACGCAAATTCCTCTTCAACTATTGTCTCCAATATCGCTTTGTGCTACCAGTTGGATGCTGGTAAGAGTGGTCTTCACCATCCCTGTGGCATATTGTGGCTTAGTTTAAGCCGCCTGGGTTTTCTAGTGAGTGGTGAGTGTGTGTGCCAGTGAGCACCAGCGAGTTGTACCAGGCTGCTCCCACCGCCACCTCCACCACCCGTCACCTTCACCACCCAATCCACATTACTGAACCCAACGGGACACACTATGGTTCCACTTTCCATGGTTCCACTTACCATGGTTCCACTTACCATGGTTCCACTTACCATTCTTAAACTTATGAAGGTTTGACTTAGGATATTTCCACTATGTTGTTGGAAAAGCAGTTACTCTGAAGATAAAACTTAAGATAATTAGCCAGCATTTATTGATGTTTCAATACTGGTGTTTACTTTTTTGGCATTTAGTTAGTTGTTTATTTACTTATACAGTGACAGTAGTTATTTATTTAACATGTCATATTCATATTTGACTTGTGATAGATTTATCAAGATTTTACTCCATGGTAAGGCACGGAGCACCTGTTGTTGTTTTCGGTGTTTTATTGTCATGGGTTATTGGTTAAGAAGTCCATGTATCAAGACATTATGTATACTTCATGTTTTTCAGAGTGTTGTATATATAAACAAACTTTATTTCTATAAAGTGGAGTACATTATATGCAATTAAGGTGATCGGCATATATTATTTCTTTATAGGAAAACCCTTATTATGCAAGGTATATCTGGCAGCCTTAACCATTTCAGGGTCCAGACCCCAATCTGAAACATGTCCACAAGGTCCAAGAATTTTAAAAAAAAATATTGTTATTGTTTCTCATGAAATGGTAGAGAATCTTTTTCTAAAGGTAATAAAACAAAAAATACGAAATTTGATGGAAAATTGACAAAATTACGCGCGCACATTTTGCTGAATCAGCTATATTTAAGCATCGGCGATTTTTTCCACTTTGACTCCCATTTTAGGCCAATTATATTATTCCAGTTGACCAAATTCTTAGCTATATCGCCAGTACTACTTCTATTTTATCGATTGAGCACAAGAAATTGCCCAGTCAACTATTTCAATTATCCAATAAAGTGATCGGAAATTGGTAATTTGACCAATTTCACACAAAGTTCAAAATATTTCAATTTCAAAATAGGGTCCAGAATAAACAAAGCAGACATTCCTGGCACTAAAACAACATTACCTCTGTTTATTAGTTACAGTTTTAGGCTTTACACATGAATTCCATTTTGCTTTTTTCACATTATGAATTTTTATTCACTCCAAAAAATACAAGATATACTGTTATGCAGTATTGTAATTATTGTATAAATAATATCAGCACATTCATGAACACACATTAGTGTGTATTGGACGCGTGATATCACTTGTTTACTCTTGAATATCGGCAAAAAACTAACATTTCCGCTATTTTGAGCTCAGTTTCAAGCCATTTTCTGTACTAAAACCAATCAAAATCATCTCTATTTTTGTTATATATCTTCCTTTCTATCAAGTGAGACCAAGAAACAGCAAATACAACTGTAAAAAACATACGATTATACATCGCAAAGTTGCTGTTGTAATTCAGAAACATGGTCGCAGTTTTTTTTCTCATGCACTGTGCTGCACGATTTGCTTTATATGGTGCACATTTACCACATAGATGCATTCTCTCATATCTTGGCCCAAATTTACCACTCACAGCTTATCTGAGTGAGCTGAGCTCATGATGTTGAACTAAGGCTTGGACCCTGGCTTCATAGCCGTAGAACTACAGGACAGACCCTCAAAGGGTTAACCCTATATTATGATTACTAGTACAGCCTCTCCTCACTTAACGACGGAGTTCTGTTCCTAAGACCATGTCGGTAAATGAAATCGTCGCTAAGTGAGGAGCATGCTATAATGGTAGTCCGTTTGTGTCAGCTATCTTTGATATTGTTTTAATGTTGCATTTGCACCATTTATAACATTTCTGGTATATTTTTAAAGGTTTATACAGTAGTGTAATATATATTGTAATAAACAGAATATAGGAAATCAGTTCTAATATACAGTGGTACCTCGAGTTTCGGCCATAATTCGTTCCAGAAGGCTGTTCGAGTGCCGTTACCGAACAAATTTGTTCCCATAAGGAATAATGTAAATTAGACTAGTCCGTTTCAGACCCCCAAAAATACACTTACAAAAGCACTTACAAAAATACATTTATGAAATTGTTCGAGTTGGGAGCTGTTTGAAACTCGAGGTACCACTGTACATTATTTAAGTATGCATACTGGTCAGAGAGCCCGTCATATGTCCGAGTTGTCGGTAAGCAAGTACGTTGTTAAGTAAGCAGAGGCTGTATATGAGAAGAGGTTACTAGCCCCTTGCTGCCAGCATTTAGTAATTTATTCAGAAGGGGGTTACTATTTCCTTGCCGTCAGCATTTACTAATTTATACAGGAGTTACTAACCCCTTGCTCCTGGTATTTAGTAATTTATACAGAAGGGTTACTAGCTCCTTGCTGCCAGCATTTTAGTTGTATCTTACAACACACATGGCTTATGGAGGAAGGATTCTAACTCACTTCCTCATTGAGAATTATTCATATTCTTACTCTGTCTGTATTGACTTTTTTTAGTGTCTTATTTTTTAAGTTATTTATGTTTTTTCCTCTGTCATTTTCATTCTCTCAATTATATTTACTTGCCTGCTTTTCTGTGTTAATTATGCATTTATATGTCACTTTTATTTCCTTTAGGCTCTCTTCTATTTTTCTGATCTCTTCTTTAGTCAATATTTCTGCTAATTTATTGTTTCTAACACTTCTCTGGTCTGTATTTCCACTAATTTACTTACTTTTGTCCATGGTTGTATGTTGCGTCATGTAGTGTATGACAGGTCAGTCCACTCGTCTCTTAGTCTTCCCTCAACTTGTCAGTTTTCATACTTGTTTTTACATTTTCTTATAATTGTAGTATTTCCCCACTTTCCATACACTTGTGTAGTATTGTATATATCATTAAATTAACTGTGTTCATGTATTTTTTTTTTTTTTGTATTTTTATGTAAACTTTACCAGAGGAGCTGTAGGTGATCTCAGTATCATTATGAAACAAACTATTGTTATGAAGTGTGGAGCAGTTTACTATGCAATTATTATAATTAATATATGTAAACTACTTTATAGAAAGCCCTCCTTTATTATGCAAGGTACTTCTGGCAACCCTGAAACTGTATTATGATTGCTAGTGTAGGTACTTCTTGACTTACCATAGTTCAGCTTAGCATATTTCAACTTTACGATAGTTCAACTTAAAATATTTCATATTTATTCACGAACAACCCGCACATTGGAAAGGGGAGCTTACAACGATGTTT